CATGGAAGTTATCCCATAATAAAGTATTGTAGCCATTCCCAACGTTAGCAAGCACAATGTTTGCCATGCTGTGTCATAACATTCCGACTTCAGGAAAGTCTCGAAGCATTATGCTCCTGTCAGTAGTGACCTAACCCCATCCACAAGGACAACCTTCCTGATTCTTGCTGCTAATTTGCAGACCACAGCGTCACAGAAGAGATCCATTTGTCGCAGATGGCTCAATCTGTTAAGGTACCTAACGGATGGGCTGAAAATGATCTCTAACTTTCGCAAGTATACCGTTAAGTAGAGCGACACCGCGCTTCAACTATTTAGCAAAGCCATGCATGTGGTAACCATGCAACGACGCCGCTTGTACTAACATGCGACACCGCCTCCACATCTCTGCTGACTGATTGAGATATCCTGATAAATACCCAAACATCATTGAAATGAGAGCAAGTCACAAAGAGGAGTAACTGTGGCGAATTAGCAATGTGAGAGTAAATCAAATCACATCTTCTCCACAATGGATATGTTCAAAGGCCAACGTTTTCACGGGTGCGTAAGTTGCCGCACACTCAACTACCGCCCTGCAACTTGATCACCAGATCTGGTTGCTAGTCGCCTTGCCTTGCCCTGCCCTATGCTTACCATAGGCTTTCTCCCATACCACGTCGACTTCCAACGACTTCTGGCGAGACCTGGAGGCTATGCACTAGCACACCACATTCGTAATGTAAATGCATCATCTCAACACCAAAATTCTTCAACCCAGGTTAACAGTCAATCAATCTAATGCCAATGGCCAAAACGTTACTCACTTTCCATAAATGCATTTTCCACAAGTGCCATGGGTGTCGCAACGCATCTCATTCCTACTCAGTACCGAAGAAATCACCGTTATCAGCCTACATGACCAATGGCCATCGATCCCATCCAAACAATTGGCACAGTCATCGCATTTCTGTGTATTTCCAATGTAAAAAGACATTCATTTCAAATTAATACGGTAAAAATATGACTGGTCAAGCTCAGGAAGGGGGTCACATTTTCATCGCGTACATGCATGTCACACTAGGAGATTTACTAATTTGCATACAGTCCATCCAAACCATTCATCCACTCCACAATGTCGTGGAAACTGGGTCTATCTTCTGGGTTGGACTCCCAACACGTCCTCAGCTTGTTGTACACCACCTCCCCAAGGTCCGCCGGCCTCACTGGTCTAGCGCCAAGGGGTAGAGATCGGGCAATTGCTGACTTTTCCTGGCCTGTCAACACAATGCAGCGAAGTTAGGGTTACGTCGTGTAACAGATCTCCCCACCGTCTGCGGCTATATCAAATGACTTCACTTAGGTCCAACACATTCCTCCACACATGGCTAGACAGTTGAGCAGGGTAAGTGTATACTCGGTGATGCCTCACCACCGTTTCACAGTCCATTAATCATGAAGACTGCAAATAGATCTGGACTTTGTACTGGCTGATTGCGTTACGGAGCACTTTCACAGACCAACGTATGTACACACGTACCCTTCATTCTAACGAAATTTGAAGGAACTACTTTTCTTGCGCCAAGTGAAAAGTGAGCTCCGTGAGATTTCTCTCATACCAGCAAGCCCCTGCCCCTCCTTCCACTTACAAAAAGAGCAATTCTGCGTGTCAGCTTCCCTTTCAAATGCGACTTTGGCAAAGGCATGAGGAGCATCGTGTCCTTGTATGTCTACTATCTTCCAAGCAGGGGCTGCAAACACACGTGGCTTTCTTTCTTCCCTGCTGTTTAAATAGCGGTTGCGTTAATGATCTACAGGTTACAGGTAACACTACCCTTCTTGAGGCATTCTGACAAGAGAGTGCTTTGTCTCCATAACGCGTCATTCAACTCATACGATAATCGCTGACATGCATCAAAGCTAATAATTACATTTAGGAGACAAAATTATCGCGAAAATAATGCCACAAACCATTGTAGGGTTCTGCTCCACGCGTCAAGACGACATAACCGAGAATTCCAAAAGCCCAAACATCCGATTTTAGCGTAAACTTTCGTGGATAGCTTTCCAGTTCAGGCGCCGACCAGCAGTCGAAGGCAAACGTCTCTATGCAGACAAAACGTCAACTTCACTCAGTTTGCCAACAGCCAATGCAGCAGATCAATGCATTTAAGGGTAGGAACAACGAATTATACCCGCCTCATTCCTACTACGGATAGAAGGTTTAAGGAGTTATCAAAGTGGTCTAGTCCAAACACAACTGCGTACAATCAGCGAATTCAGGTGCTCCCAAAATGCCAATATAGCAAACGGAAAGTTAGCACGCCCCTCATGGCGTTCAGACGCTAATTCTTCCGTTTAATGTGCCATCCTACCCAATGAAACTGAAGCATCATTTGTACACAACTGTGTCCACAACTTGAGCGGTGCATGCTTTTGGGGGTCGTGGTTGTTTAGAGCGTGCCCACCTAATGCAACTAAACAGGGTTATCTCCTAAATAATGCCTTAAACAATTTCTGAGCAGGTTACCCTCTTTACCAGAAAGGGAGAAACCGTTTATTCTACCTACCTGAACAGGGAGAAATGCTGC